CCTCTGCCTCCCAAAGTGCTGGGATTACAGGCATGAGCCACCGTGCCCGGCCAGACGAGATGATCCACTTCTTACTGACTTCAAGATGTGAAAAAAGGCTTGGCACAGTGGCTTATGCCTGTAATGCCAACACTGGGAGGCTGAGGTGGGAGGATCACTTAAGGTCAGGAATTGGAGACCAGTCCAGGCAACATGGCAGGAGCTTGTTTCTGCAGAAAAAGTCAAAAAAAAAAAAATTGCTGGGCAGGATGATACACACCTGTAGCCCTAGCTATCCAGGAGGCTGAGTCAGGATGATTATTTGAGCCCAGGAGTTCAAGGCTATAGTGGCTGAGGTGGGCGGATCATGAGGTCAGGAGAGCAAGACCATCCTGGCCAACATGGAAAACCCCGTCTCTACTGAAAATACAAAAAAATTAGCCGGGCGTGATGGCGGGTCCGTGTAGTCCCAGCTACTCAGGAGGCTGAGGCAAGAGAATCACTTGAACCCAGGAGGCGGAAGGTGTGCGCCTGTAATCCCAGTTACTGAGGAGGCTGAGGCACGAGAATTGCTTGAGTTCAGGAGACGGAGGTTGCAGTGAACTGATATCTCACCACTGCACTCCAGCCTGGGTGACAGAATGAGACTGCCTGAAAAAAACAAAACAAAACAAAACAAAAAATCAGTGTTATTTTATCTTAAGTGTTTTATGATTAAACGTCTACAATTGTCTTTTGCACTAAGTTTATTATTTTTATTGTATTAAACTTTAGATTCATGGGGCACATGTGCAGGTGTGTTCCATGAGTACACTGCAAAATGCTAAGGTTTGGGCTTCTAGTGAACCCATCACCCAAACACTGACCATAGTAACCAACGAGCAGTTTTTCAACCCTTTGCCCTCCTTCCCTCCCCACCTGTGGAGCTCCCAGTGCCTGTTATTTCCATCTTTATGTCCATTTGAACCAACTGTTTAGCTATTCATTTATTTATTTATTTATTTTTGAGACCTTTCACCCTGGCTGGAGGGCAGTGGCTCCATCTCAGCTCACTGCAACGTTCGCCTCCCGGGTTCAAGCGATTCTCCTGCCTCAGCCTTCTGAGTAGCTGGGATTACAGGCACGCACCACCACACCGGGCAAACTTTTGCAATTTTAGTAGAAATGGGGTTCCACCATGTTGGCCAGGCTGGTATCGAACTCCTGTCCTCAAGTGATCCACCTGCTTTGCCCTCCCAGAGTGCTGGCATTATAGGTATGAGCCACTGTACCTCGCCTATTTTTAAATAATACTTAATTTTCTTTCATTTTGCTAATAATTTAGAGTACAATTATATAATGATGTTAACTTTTTTTGGGCGGTGGGATGGGGTCTCACTCTGTCACCCAGGCTGGAGTGCAATGGCTCAATCATGCTTCCCTGCTGCCTCAAATTCCTAGGGTCAAGTGATTCTCCCACCTCAGCCTCCCAAACAGCTGGGACTACAGGCACGACCACCATGCCTAGCTGATTTTTCTATTTTTGTGGAGACAGGGTCTTGCTATGTTGCCCAGGGGGGTGTCAAATACCTGAGCTCAAGCAATCTGCCCGCCTTGGCTTCCCAAAGTGCTGGGATTGTAGGCATAAACCACCGTCCCTGGCCTAATAATGTAGAATTTTACTTAATGCTTAATAATATCATTTTAAAAGTTTGTATTGGAAATGTATTTAAATATGTAGTTTGATCTTTTGAAAAACATTTGAATTCCTAACAGATTATAAAATACTAGTTGTGCCCAGGAGGCGGAGGTTGCAATGAACAGAGATAACACTACTGCACTCCAGCTAGGGTGACAGAGCAAGACTCCA